AAGACTTTAATAGTAGAATTTTATACACTTCTATTTTAAATAGAGCTCATGCAGTTCTTTGGAAAGAAGTTTATATCCATTCTAACTGTACAAAACAATGTTTTATACAAACGTTATACTTTCCACCAAAGGGTTCAAAGACCTCTACAAACAGTAATACATCGTAAATAGTTAAGAACATCGTGACGTACATACTACCTCCGTTTCATAGGTGACGAAATTACTGTATCAGGAAAGTTTATTATTCAATAGAAGAAATTTTAAAAATTTCATGTAGTAGATCTCAACTGCCATTTTGTTTTTCTGCTGCAGCAGAAATACAATTATTTGTGCATCTTTAACTCCCTAGTCAATCATTAAGACATTTCTACCCCCTTACACTATTGTTAAGTATTCATAATACTATTTTTCGATTATAATCACTTCTTTCATAGAATGATTATGCAACAAAAAAGTATGTAACAATTCAATTAGAAACATGAGGACAATTTAGAATGGCAAGTTATCTGCCTGACTATTGAGTACTTAAAGGTTTCCCCAGTTATTTTTTCCTTATGATTCCACAAGTACTAGTAAGCTGACCTATGAGTGGGGGACAAGAAAACATTTCTCATTTCTCCCTCTCATAAAGCTTTTCTCACAGACATCAAACCAAATGTCAAACTGCACATTCACAAATCATTTTAGCTGTTTGTGTTGTTTAAGCAGTAATAAATAATGTGAACAGTTTAGCTCCTAGTGTACTCTGGTTTACTTTGGCATGTTTTGGTGCATTGATAAATATGCCTTTCAAACTATCAGACACATGAGATAGTAGCTAATGGCTTGTGATTCCTGTTTAGTCTTTATAAAAACAGATTTTGATTACAAATCCTAAAAAACTGTTGAATTAAAACATATATCAAAATGTACTTCAGACTGTGCACCTGTGCTTTGAAGTGTGAAATATTGTTGCATTATTGTAAGCTATTGTCTAAAATCACATCATTAGGAACCCAAGAAAAATCAAAGTAAAGGTATTTAATAAAATAAATGTAAATAGAGTAGTATTTGGTACTCATTTCAATGACAATAACCCCATAACCTTCCAAATAAATATAACCTGCCATGTACATGAAGTAATGCAAACCAGAGCTAGCTGAGGTACTGCAAAGGCTCACAGTTGTTAGCTCAGCTTGCTAGCTGAGCTGTACCTGTGACTCAACAAGGCTTTTCCTTCCTACGCTTCTGGCACCCACAAAAGTCAAGCCAGTATCTTACCACAGCACTAATTTATTGGCAGTATCAGTTTTTGGAGGCTCCAGCAACGGGCAATAGTGAAACATTCTTAAAAATAAAGATATTTGTAATTTGCTCTTAATCTACTCACATAGTCTCTCAATCTTACGTCCACCATAAAATAAGAGTTTAGGAAAGGAAACGTAACTAAATACTTAAAAGCCTACAGATGTGTAATATTCTTATAAACCTATATAAATACACCTGGAAAAAAGCAATTTACAAAGGTTGCAACTTCAACAATATTGTTCAGCATTTGCCTTTCTAAGGACATATTGTTCCTGTTTCTAAGCCAACTGAAACGCCTATTTTTCTTAGCATTCCTGGCAGTTTATCAAAAAAGGACAGGTAAATTAAATGATCAGTTTTATATACACTCGTTACAGTGAACTTGTTGCTTGCCTAATCCAGTCTCTTATTTCAGACAGCTCGGGATTCTGTTGCATCATTAGCGTATTGGCTACTTCTGACTTTCATCATATTTACAAAATAAGTTGTGAAAACAATGGCTGTATGTTATGACCACACTTTCCTGTGACAGCCCTACAAGTTCTGCTTTTGTCCTTCTACCCTTTTAGAGGCAGTGGAAGAGCAGAGATAGTATTTAATGACCAGCTAAACCTTGAGTGGTCCATGAAGAGATCTGTGATGCAATTAATTTACGGTAATTCAGTCTCTTCCAGATTCACATGCACACTGAGGAATTGTATGACCTATGACAATAAGTATAAGCATGCAGTCTTTAAGGAGGAAAAGATGTAGACCTCAAACATCAGATTGCATACGTCAAGAAAAATATAAAACATTGTGAAAAGAGCTTACCAGTGAGCTTCGTTAAGTGTTAAGTGAAAATAAATTTACTGGTCATCTTTTAGCTAATCATTCAATGGGAACTATTTCTGGCATAATAAACAACCTGTAAGTTTTTTTTTCTTTTGCAAAGAATATTTAGGGCTTTTCAGATGTCATTGTCTGAACAGAGGCTTTCATTTACTCCACAAGTTGCATTTCATGATTCCTCAATGTCTAGGAACGTGTAGGTGTGGAATGGTCTAAGAAGTGTGCATGTAACACACCGAACGGTTATTAAGATGAAAAAAAAAATCACAGAACAATCATTTAAACAACAGTCAAGACAGCAAACAATGGAATCATTTCTATAACATGTTACACGCAGTATTATTCCAATTAGAAAGCTAGTTTCTTCATTTTTGTCAGTCTAACCCATATCATTTTCAAATGTCTGAGCCCTAACTAAAAATAAATCTATAAGCAATATTTACATAAGCAGCATGTCCCTTTTCCATCTTTACCGAGGCCAGCTATGAACTTTTTTTTTTTTTTACAAGAAGATTTTATGTAAGCGTCGCATAAGATTGTAACCGAAATACACTAAACTCTCAAGTAAATTCTTCAAAAATGTATTAAAAAGAAGTGGGGAAGACCCAGCATGAAAAATCAGTTGTTTGAGGATGACGTAAATGGTGTTCATATTGATTTATTATGCACTGGTGAAGTATTTATTTTCTGCACAAAGAACACGACCATTTCTTTTGGTGGCAGTTCCAGTTCAAGTGGCTTCAGCTCCCTGCTCATTCCTACTCAAATATAAACCTCTCAGCTAAGGCAATCCTTCTCTTCCTATGACTGCGCAGACCAGACTTGAGAAGTGATGCAGGTTGAAAGTAACTTTTTTCTAGATACATTGCTTTTAACAGAGATTACTTGGCAGGTAGGCTTTTGGTTACACAAGAACTTGTATCAAAATAACCGAGGTAGCGGGAACAAGATGTGAGCGGCAACTGAGGGCTGCTTAACTTTGCATTGCTCTTTGGGTTACATTCTCTTTTAAGATCTTCTCACTTGCCACACTAAAGCCTAAAAACAAACAAAAATAACTGTTTCTGAAGTGCTGATAGTTCCTTGAATTTGCAGGAGATTGGATGTAGTATCAGACTGGATGTTTCAGGTTAGGAAGAAAAAGGGACTTCAGGCAGGCAGGCATTCTGCTGGCAGTGAAGTGCCTGGCTTTCCAATTTATATTCAGAACTATCTTGTGTAAATGATGATGATCATAAAGGATCCTATCCTGTGTGGTCTTCATATTGATTGCCTTTTGTCCTAGCATTTGAAATTAAATTGGTTCACATCAGGGATTGATACCCACTTAATTAAAACAATTTTAGAATGATTGCAGTAAAGCGGTGACTTTTGTAACACAGGTTGGTTTGTCCTGAGCTAACAACTACTACCCCACAACCTTGCCACAGTGACAATGTGGCACTTTGTTATTACTCACACCTGCAAGGCCAGACTAAACCCAGGCAGAAGTTTACCAACTTCAGTAAGCCATGTCAAGTACGCAAGAGCTGAAGCTGTTTAATCATCCTTGCATTGCTAGAAACTAAACCCCTTTGACAGGTCACTCCTTCTTCAACTATGAGTTTTCTCAAACTGGAGCTTCAATATTCAGTTTATCATTTATATTCTGTATTTCATTAAAATAGAGAGAAAAGAGGTATAAATAAAGATAAGTCAAGAAAGTTTCAAAGCTGCTTGCAACTTATTTGAAAAATAATAGGAAATAACTCCTTTGCCAACTTTACACTGCAAGCGTTCTATGGAAATTCTCAATTTGTTTATAAATAACTGACTCTGGTGGTTTTCTCCCTCACTGTTTGTAATCAGATTTCCACTTTCGCAAATATTTCTTACATGTTACTAGAAACACAACATCTACTTCTGGCTTTATGACTATGCTAAACAAAGATGGAATTTCTTCCAAAGGCATCACGAGTTATTCTTAGCATTTTTATGCTTGGCTGTTCATTTGATTATGTTAATATTCAGAAAATATTTTCTAATTCACCAGATGTTTTCTACTAAAGCATGTCCTTTGATGAACGCATATGTTTGTACTTAATGCGTCAACTATAAAGCAAAAAGGTTATGAGTATAAATCAAGGGAAGAGCAACCCGTATTTAAAACTCTGAAAAGACACATAAAAACATAGGCAACAAACAAAAGGAGGGAAACAGAACTCAAAACAGGAAGGGGGTGTTATTTGATATTTCAGCAAAGGAAATGAAGACTGAAAACTTTCATAAGCAACAGCAACATTATAAACATTGCATTATTTACATTGGATTATGATTTTGATAGTTGTGTTAAATAAATTCTGTGAGGCCAATAATTAACTTGAGTGGTCAAAGGCAAAAGCCTTTGCAGATAAATGTACTTTACTTCTTCTTGAAGTCTGAAGCCACAAATACTTATCTGCTTTCTGAACACAGAAAATCAATAGGTTCTCTTCACTCCATGAAAAGACTGAATACTTGACCTGTATGGGCATATTACTAAAGCTGACATACATACCCTCCAGTTGCCTAATTGCAGTCAGTCCTGTGAAATTAACTGGGGCCTTTCGTTCTTATTAGACACACTATGGAACAGATTCTCACGCACACAGACACAAAAGGATAAGTACATAAAGTACTTGAGAACACGTGCAGACAAGTAATACTGTAACAGACATGCTGTAGTATAACCCCCTCTCACACTGCTTCGTGAGGTGCTGCCAAGACACAGGACGCTAAGACACCAGGAGCAGTGCGGTCCATGACCCAAGCCTTTGTGGAACGCAAGCGTGAGTAAAACCGGGGATACAGGCCTTGCGCTTCCTGGAACAAGACACATCTCGCGGAGGCCGAACGTGACTCACGCCATGCAAACGTATCCTTTGGCAGCGAGGGGGGGAAAACATGAGCTGCTCTTTATCTCTTAGCCGCTTCTGATGTATTCAGCCAAACAAACACAGAGCTTGATGTCACGCTCCTAAAGGAAAAACACACACACTCTTAGGAATAACTGATTTAGGGGACGTGCGTTCGGGAAACAGGGGAATTTAAGCCCGGGCGCCAGCTCCCAGGGCCGGCTTGCGGCGTGCCGGCCCCTCGGCACGTTTCCTCGCTCCTCCGGCGGCCCCGGAGGGCTGGTGACCGCCGG